GCGCGGACGTTCCGGGTGGCCATCCTCGAGGCGTGCCTGGGCATCGCGGGCATGCTGGCCAGCATCGGTGGTGGCCAGTGGCGCAAGGCCCAGGGCTACATCAACCCCTTCTGGCTGGCCTTTGCTGCCTCTCTTGCTGCCACTCTCTATGCTGCTTTCTGCCTTCGGGAGTCAGTGAAGCAGAGGAGACCGGCCAGGCTGTTCACGCTCAGCCATTACAAGGCTGTGTACAGGCTGTACATGGCCCCAGAGCACCCGAGCTCCAGGTGGAAGCTTGCTCTTTACTCTCTGGCTTTTTTCCTTCTTGTCACAGTGCATTTTGGAGCCAAGGACCTCTTTGTTTTGTATGAGCTTGGCTTTCCTCTCTGCTGGGCTTCTGACCTCATCGGGTACGGCTCCGCCGCCAACTACCTGGCTTACCTGAGCAGCCTGGGAGGGCTGCGGCTGCTGCAGCTCTGCCTTGAAGACAGCTGGGTGGCAGAGATAGCACTGATCTCAAACATTGCCGGACTGGTTGTGATTTCTCTCGCTACCACAACAGCACTGATGTTTACAGGTGATGCTAAATTCTTAAATCCTTATATTTCTGGCTTTGCGCAGAGATGTCAGTAGATGCAGGAGGGCACTGTGCTTCTGAGAGGTCAAGCACATGGAGGAAGTTCTGCCTCCATTTCACCCTGTGCACCAACAAAGCTGTGTCTTGCTAATGGCAGTGTTGGCCAAACACTAAAGTTGAACATGCATCCATATTTCCTAGAATATTAGGTTTCCCAGAACTGTATTACAGTGCAGACAAAGGCTAAAGTGGATTATAGGATCTAGGAGGATGAATTGAGTCTAAATACAGCAGGGAGAAACAACCTGCAGCTACAGATTTCTGGGACTGACTTTGGAGACTTTATTTTTCAGCTGAGCTTTCCCTAATGTGCTGTATCTTGCTCACAGGTTATGGGGTTCTGTTCCTTTCCATGGCAGCTACTCCAGTCATCAGATCCAAGCTCTCCAAGCTGGTCAGCGAGACGGAACAGGGTAAGGAGTTACCTGGTGTGCTTAAACCAGGTCCTGAAACACTGTCTTCTTGGAACACTGAAACCAAAATGTTTGAGGAAGTTAGGACTTCTGTGGTTCCTCTGGAGTCCTGTGTCTTTGCACTCACCTTCAGACCCAGGATAGCATTTTATTTTTTTTCAGAGTAATTGTAATTCATTGATTTACACTTGCTGCATTTTCAAGATGAGGACAAGGAAAAGCAAGATGAAAAGAATTTGCAGGAATGGTTCGTTCATCTATCTGTTCATCTCCAAAAGGTTTACAAGGAGCAAGAGTTAAAATGGGTTATGTAAAAAGGAGAAAAGAGCGATTCTCTGACCATGACTTTTCTCTGTAGATCAGTAACAGGGGGAAGAACCAGATGTTGTTGGAGGGTTATATCATTGACTGTGGTAAAAGATCATGGATAACCTGTAGGAGGAACATATTTGCCTTTCGTCCAGTAATATATTTGGAGACTGTGCACTTGCTGTGAAACATGGCATAGGAATGTGTCTGAGGCAGACGGAGGGGGGAGTTGGGGTAGGAACAATCAATAGGCGATTTTGCAGAATTCACGTTGCTTATTTTAGAATGAAGATGGTGCGTACTCTACACCAGATTATGATGCTAAATCTATAAATTACTGTCTTCTGCTGTACTTAATATTTAACAAGTGATAAGATATACTTTTCAGTAAACAGATCTATATAGCCCTAGTCTGAAGCATTTACAGTCCAGCTGATAGATAATATCCCTTGTCAGCCCAGGCGATACCAATTCTGCAGGTCGGTGAGATGGTCCTGGCTACAGAGAAGCAAGTGGGACAGGTTTAACCAGCCAGGCCAACTCTGTTTCCCAGCTTACCACACTTGATACTCACACACCAGTTTTCTGATGGGAAGTGCAAACCCTTAGGAAGATTCACAGAATCCCACTGAAGGTGACATGTTAAAGCCGTTTGTGGGCATTAACCACCTGTCTGTCTCACCATTAATCTCTTTTCTCTTTTCCAGGTGCTCTCTTTGCTTCTGTTGCCTGCGTGCAAGGGCTGTGTTCCCTCGTGGCTACAGGAGTGTTCAACTCTCTCTACCCTGTGACCTTGCACTTCATGAGAGGATTCCCATTTCTCTTCGGGGCTATAATCCTTCTTATTCCGGCAGCTATCATTGGGTAATTTAGTTCAAATTTCTAAACTTTGCCACAGGACCTGTGAAATGTCATGTGGAAAATATTATTTACTCTTCTTGGGAGAGACAGTTTTTAAGGCATATTTTCAATTGAGCTTATGAGAGGATGTTTGGTACCCCAGTAAACAGAGATGCAGGTAATTTCTTCTGGAATCTGAGTCCTAGGGATAAACCTGCAGCCTGAGTAATGTAGCTGCAAATATTCAGAATGCTTCAAAGTTTCACTCCACCCTCAGTGGAATCTAAAATCTGGAGCTGAATTTGAAAGTCCTCCTTTATGGGAGAGATGGAGCTCTCAGCAGTCTCTCTTCCTGTAATTTCTTTAATAATTAAAGCAGAAGTTGTATTGTGATAGAAAACATCCCGTGGTAGGTTCTGGGAGAAGGAATGTGTTGGGATTTGCAGTAAAGTGCAACAGCTCTTGGCAGGGTCATTTCGTTCTGTTCCTTTGAAACTTTAAAACTCAATTCAGTGACATCCCAGTGTGCCTTCAAAGGTTCTAACTATTTGTTCTTTCCTAGGTGGATTCAAATCTGGGACTCAAAACATGACTACAATCACTTCCAAGATCCCCCATCCCCTGCAAAAGACTGATCAGCAACTTAGCAACAAGGAATTGGCCAGCACAGCAGTGTCCACCTGAAGACTGCTCTTTACTCTTCCCTCAAAGGACAGATTAGTGTGGGAGGGACACCCTCCTTGCCCCTACTAACTTTTAAATGCCAGGCAGTTGGAAATCATGGCTCTGACTACAGGAGGAACCTGATTTGCAGATGTGAATGCCTCCTCAACATTTGTTGGCTCATCTATGAGAGAAAACCCAAGAGACCCAAAAACCAACCAAGCTGTTGTGGGCCATTTGCAAGGCTGGTTAGTGGTTTGGGGTTTGGAGAAGGCACCGTGACATGCTTTTAAGGGGGAGAGAGGACTGAGTTCTGGTTTAATTGCCAAACACATTCCCCTCTGAGTACTGCAGTGTGTAGCAGATGAGCTTTTGGTGTGGGTGAGGCATGGACTGAAGCCTGCAGAGCCAGACTGAAGCAGAGGTACAATAGTGTACTGCTGAGGAGGAAGATCCATGATCTGGATCAGCATGTTGCCTGTAAAAATCCTACAAGTGTCACATGCCAGACCAAGCTCCCATAGAAATCCTTGTGGAGAGGGCTAGTTTAGCACAAAACTGCTACTGCTGTCCTTATTGACTGAACCAGCTTCAGTTTTGCAAGTTAAAGGTGTCCTAGGAAGAGGATCTAACTCATGAAGTGTTTGTAGGAGAGCCAGTTGCATGTCCTGCCTGTTTGCAGCTCAGCTCAGGATCTCAAAGGTGCTTTTAAAAAGTAACAGACTGTCTGAGAATACTACAGTGCAAATAGAATATATCCTGAGTTGGAAGGAGCCCACAAGGATCATCAAAGCAACTCCTGTCAGTGCCTTAATTGACAGTTGCCAAAATTGTTGAATTTAAGGCTAAAATTGCCAAACTGGACCCCCCTAAGTGAAGCCCCTTACACTGTAGGTGTGCCCTAGTGTCTTGGGAAATCACTGCTGTGCTTATGGCAGAGTCCTTCCTCACCAATACACTGTGCTGTAGTGATGAGCTGGTGTGGGACTAGTGTCTTTAAGGTTAATTTTTTGTTGTTGTATGGGGCACAACTTTATGTTGGTGACCTCAGTTCTGCTGCCTCTCTCAGGATCTGTTGATGCCAGCAAGCAAATCTCATGTTCATGGTGCTTACAATTGTTCCTTTCAAAGCATTGCCTGTATTGCCACAATCCTGTTTTCTTCCAAGTGCCATAAACCAGCAGTTCTGTGTACACTGCACTGTGCACGCTGTTCAAGTACCTGCAATAATGTCATTATTATTACTTTCAAAATGAATAAAACCTCCATTCTCTTTTATGGCTCATAAAATGACAGATTTCTTGTGCAGCTGTTGATATCATTTGTCCTTGCCCTGTCGGGGACTTCTCTCCATTATTTTTATGCTGTGTCCTTTATTGAAGTAAAGAGGAAGCAGTGGGAATTTATCTGCCTTGTGGAGAATGAGTGTGTGAGAGTCACAAGTCAGGAAAAATCCAGGTTTGGGACTTGCAAGGAGCCAAAACTTGCTTTTCCTCACCACCTGAGTAAAGGTTGCAGGAGTGCTTTGTCTGAAACCTGTCCTTAAGTA